TTTTTTTTAAAGAAAGCATGAAATAATTTGATAAGTCTGATTAAAATAGCTCTCCGAAACATAGTTTTTTAATTCATATTAATTATATCATCAACTTAATGTAAAAAACTAAGAAGAAAAATTCCTGTTGAATCTAAAAAATAAATAAATAGGCCATACTGAGTTGCTAACTACTCTAGTAAGATTTTGATAAGTCAAAATCTATCAAGATACTTACTTATCATTTTAAAATTCAACAAATATTTTTTTTAACACTTTTTTAAAAGAATTGAGTTTTATTCAATCTATCCAACCATGAGCAAAATATATATTGCCTGAAATCCCATTGATTATTGGTTTACTAAAATATAAAAAATATATCTTCTATTATTCAATAGCATTTCTAATTTAATGGCAACTTATATCCACTTATCTTTTCTTCAAAAGAATTCGCCAAGGAGATGCTCTTTCCTTTGAGATATATTTTGGCTGCAAATGTGTATTTTGAGATTTTGCTTGTTTTTTGAGGCGAAAGTTTGAGGAGTAATTTAGTATTTTTCAACTTTATATTTTTGTATTTAATCTTTTTAAATAATTACAGTTTTTAAGATCTTTCCTAATAAATATAATTTTTCTATGTTTCCATCTAATTTTCCTTTGATTTTTCATCTTGGACTACGACCATTTACCTTGTTTTCTGATCTTTAAATAATGTTTTTTCTTAAAGAAAAAAGGTCAAAAAGCATCAAAGGGACAAACCTTCAATGAAAGGGGAAGAACCAAAGCAATTAATCAGGTATAACTTGCTTGGTGGTTACTCCCACACAAGTGACAAGCCCATACATCGTACATTTACTAATGGCCGTTTTCTTCATTCTAAAACATGCCTAAAATGCTTTGACTTGAGCAACAGTGAACTCTCTCTCATTGAATATATAGATGCTTATGATTAGTCATACCCAACCCATACACACACCATGTGAGTTTCATTCAAGTTACCATTATTTTATTAAATCCCCCAATCACTCAATCATACAGCTTTAAAGATTCAATCAATTAAACAAGTCAAATGTGCATTCTTTAAGCATCAAACTTCTTTTTAGTACGTAATATTAGGTTTACGGAGCCTAATCATACGCCCAACTATTTTGCAACCATCATCATAACTGAAGTATAAATAATGCTTTATCCATTCCCACGGACATTTTATAGTCTGGCAAACCTCTTGGTTTTTCACTATATAAACCTCAATTTGTCATCATTCTTCTTCACAAAATCAGAAACATTCTCTCTCTCTCTCTCTCTCTCTGTGCATCATAATCTCAGCTTCTGCACACAGACATGGCGTTTCCGTTCTCATTTCTCCTCCTCCTCCTCCTCCTCTCGCTCCTTCCTTCATTTTCTTCCACGCTTCAAGATCCACACTTGATAGTCGAACAAGTGCACAAGTATGATTCTTAGTCATCGCTCCCTCATAATTTTCAGTTTTCTGATATTCCTCGTGTTCGTCATACCTTAAACCTCTGTTTCTACTTTCTGTTGCAGGAGCGTCAATGCGTCGAGAAGAAACCTGGGGTTTCTTTCTTGCGGAACCGGGAATCCCATTGATGATTTGTTGGAGGTGTGACCCCAACTGGGAGAAGAACAGAAAGCGTCTGGCGGATTGCGGCATTGGGTTCGGCAAGAACGCCATCGGAGGCAGAGACGGCGGATACTACGTCGTCACCGACCCCGGCGACCACCCCGTGAGTCCCAAGCCAGGAACCCTCAGATACGGCGTTATACAGAAGGACCCACTGTGGATCATCTTCAAGAAAGACATGGTCATCAAGCTCAAAGAAGAACTGATCATGAACTCCTTCAAGACCATCGATGGCAGAGGAGCCGATGTTCACATCGCAGGGGGTCCTTGCATCACTATCCAGTTCGTTACCAACGTCATTATCCACGGAATCAACATTCACGACTGTAAACGAGCAGGTAACGCCTACGTGCGAGATTCTCCGACACATTACGGGTGGAGAACGGTGTCGGACGGCGACGGAGTCTCCATTTTCGGAGGAAGCCACATCTGGGTGGACCACTGTTCTCTGTGGAATTGCGAAGATGGACTGATCGATGCGGTTCAAGGATCGACGGCAATCACAATCTCAAACAATTACATGACTCGCCACGACAAGGTGATGCTTCTGGGTCACAGTGACAGTTACACGCAGGACAAGAACATGCAGGTCACCGTAGCCTTCAACCATTTCGGCAAAGGCTTGGTCCAGAGAATGCCAAGGTAACAACTTGAGCAAACCTTTTTCCGACAGAAATCGAGCAACGTTGCTGAATCAATTTCAATTGATTAATGAACCCAAGTATCTGTGTATCATTTGCAGATGCAGACATGGCTACTTCCACGTGGTAAACAATGACTACACTCAGTGGGGCATATATGCGATAGGAGGGAGTGCGAATCCAACTATATACAGTCAAGGAAACAGATTTCTCGCTTCTAATGACGGAACTTAAAAGAGGTGACCAAGAGGGAGAATTCGCCGGAGAGTGAATGGAAGAACTGGAACTGGAGGTCGTCGGGGGATCTGATGGTAAACGGTGCGTTTTTCACGCCGTCAGGGAAGGAAGCATCTTCAAGCTATGCTCGAGCTTCAAGTCTGTCTGCAAAATCGTCTTCTTTGGTTAGTTCTATAACAGTGTCGGCTGGAGCACTTAAATGCACAAAGGGCTCTCGTTGCTGAATCAAATCAGTTTTGGTTTCTCTTTAGGATTTATACTCTGCGTTTTAATGCAGCAAGGGCCAAGACCAATGAGACCCATATGATCTGATCTTTCTTCTGTATATACTTTTTATTTTTTTTAAGTATTGTCTTTTATGACTGCAACCTTAGCTGGTGACGATTGTGGTTGCGCAAGCATAAGAGTTGATGATGTACATCTTTATGTTCAACGACAAGTTCAAAAGAAATGGGTATATCATTTTCATCTTTTTCTTTTAGGTGATGTCATTCTAATCTTTTATTGAAATGAAATATGCTTTTCTTTGTTTTTGTTTTTAATGAATTTAAGGGATATATAAGTGCCTGTTGTGTAAGTTCTGTTGCGCGGCTTATCATAATAACGAATGACTGGCATGTCATTTCATTTCAATATTAGTCTTCCATTTCACTCTCTCTTGGCCTTATTTTGAACCATTTGTTATTCAACTTGATAATGAAAGGAAAAAGTATTAGGAGTGCAAGCAGTATATCATTTATACAAAACTGAAAAACGGCCACCCAAAAAAGGCCCATTATTAGTAAGCTTATAAAATGATGAAACAAAACTGAAAAATGGCCTCGAGTTCAAACGTCAGCGTATGCACAAATCCCCGTTGGAAGACTCACCCACCACAGCCAGGTGCGCAACGCGGGTCGGATCCAGATGTAGTCGGAGTAAAGTTTCGGTGAACTAGGTGGGCAACCCAAAAAAAAAAAAAACTAAAAGATGGCCAACCAAAAAGGCACATCTCCAGAGTCGTGGGATTGCAAGCCGTATGTCATTATACAGAACCCACAAGGTATATAAGTACTCCATCCAATCCTAGATATAAAATTTATTTTGTAGTATAAATTATACTATAAAATGAGTTTTATATTTAGCACTATAGGAGTATTATTAGTATTACATTAGATACTTAATATGAGAGTTAATTGGAAGATTTTGAGTCTTAAATATAAGATCTTTTTCAGACAATGGGTTTGGATCTGTTCTTGATGGGTCGGATTGTTTGATCCAACAATAAAGAATCTTTTTTATCAAGGAAATCATTCTCCATTATGAGGAAATGAATGATTAGAAAATCAATCAAGCATTAATTGTTGATTATAAATTAAAAGCAATCAAAATATTATCTTGTGATAAATAAGTTAGATTGCACCTTCTTAAATTATGGTCACTTTTACCTTATAAATAGGAGGTACCCTTCCCCTTTTCTCTTCGCCATAGCCATTTGATTTTTCTACCTATCTCTTTCTCTCTCTTTCTATTTTCTCTTGTGTGATGTTTTATTATATCATTCAAGTTTAGGTTTTAGTAGTCTAAACTTTGCATGAGCACCAGTAGATCAACTTATAAAACTCTAGAGGAATGATCCAGATCTGACCCAATATGCACTTCCTTTTATATTTATATTCCATCAACATCAATTTACATTGTCTCCTATTTTTATCAAAATATCCTTATTAATTATAAGATATTTTTTCTTAATAAGTATTTTATTACACATGATTAAAGGGAAAAATTTAGAAAAAGCCAATACATATTTAATACAAATAATTAACTTAACTAATTTTCTTAATATCTTCAAATTAATTTTTTAATTCTTATATTATGGATCGAAAGTAGTATTTAACATATGGTAAGAGCTCAATAAAAATGAATTAAGGGTAGGTTACTAAAAAGGTATTAGCAAAGGAGTTGTGGATATTGAGAAGATTCTTTACTCAATGTAAAGAGTTGGTGCCCTATTCCTGTGTGAGAGTCTCCATCAATAGGTTCATAAACATCGTCAAGAGCGGCGGTTTGGTGATCGGAGAGGACATTGAAACGTTTTTGTGGATTGAGATAGCCAGTGATGTTGGCCATGTCATCTCCCTTGTTATATGCCAACTATGCTTATTTTAATTAAATCTCATCAGCAATTTAACAATTAAATTTAAAGACCTATAATTGTTGGAGGAGATATTGATATTCTTTCATTTTTAAAGAATTAGTAGTTAAATCGTATCACAAATAATTTTATAATAACATTAAACCAATAAAAAAAATAATTTTAAAGTATTAACTGTACTTTAATTTATTAAAATATTAATGCTCTTTTGGAAGGAAGGAGTTCGAATCCTAGCTCAGCTAAGCAGGATTTTATTTTCGTTTCAGTATGAAATTACTAAGCTGCCATTCAGTTTTGAAACGGGAAATAAATAAATAAAATAAAAATAGGATCAGATTTTTCCCCCAGCTTGCTAGAAAGAAGCAAAGGCAAAACGTTTCGGGAATTTGGGGATCATTGAAAGTTGGAACTTTGAAACTCCAATTTCGTTGCTCCTCCCACGGATCATCCTCCATCATCTGTGTTGTCGTCGCCGGTGGCTGTGCGTTGTCACCATCCGTCCGTCTACAGTTGCTGGCGTGTAAGTCGTGGGTTCACGGGTTTTCGATTTCCTTGTTCTTCTTCGCCGTTCTCTCTTTCTCTCGACTATATTCAGATCCTGGTAGTTTGGGAAGGCTGATGTTTTATTTATCCCTTCTTCCTCCGTCATCATCGCTGCTTGTGAAGCTTTGGGTAAGCTCAAACTCATCTCTATTCCTAAACTCGTATAACAGTGTGTATGAGAGGAATCTTCTATGCATCTTTCCTTTCCAGTTTCGTTGCTGCTTCTATGTGGGGTTGAGATAGTCTGCTTCTTTTGTGTGGCTGTGTGTATGCGCTGAACTTTGATCCTTTTTTTTTTTTAATTGTGGCTGTTTGTGGTGTGCGAGGAATGACGGAAGATTAAATGACCTTGATGAAATTGTGTGAATGTGGATGCTGGAAAATTCGTGGTTCTGCTTGTGAAATAAGATGCTTACTTATTGAGTTAGTTTGAATGGCTATGAAGTGTTTGATGAATTGTGTGACAGAAGAATGAGATTTGAGGCTTTTGTTCAGTCAAGGCATGAGGGAGGGAAGCTTGTTGGATGTGCGTTTTATTAAAAATTTGATGAGTTGCAAGAGAAGAAGCTATAATGCAAATGACGTTAAGAATGTAACTTATGTAACTTTGTGATTTAGCAAGGTGTTTGAAGTTGCTTGGTTAATACTCCTCCGATTCTCAATTAGAACCTAATTAGAGAGTCGATGTTGGTTCTATATGTAAAACCTAGTCATTTTTTTCCAAATTAACCTTATTGATATTTTCCTAACAATAATTAAGTAGGACGGGGAGGGAAGGAAGGAAGGAACTAAGAAAGATGCTTAAGGGATTATAAAAAAAACACACCATATTAACTAATTTAAGTATTTAACTAGCATGCTTAATCTAGTCAAATTAGTTAATTAGGTATTACATTAAAGACTGAAGGTGTAATATAATATAATGAAATAGTGATAGTGTTGTGACTTGATTAAGGAAACTCGGAGAACCTATTTTATCGCTGGAAAAGCCATCATAGATGTTTTATGAGTGCGGTATAGTTCACAATTTACAGTTGATTAAGCATAATAGACTCAAAGGAGGTAAGAATGATTTGTTCTTATACTCCTCTAGTCCTTAATATAAGACCTATTTATAAGAAATATGATATGTTTTTCCTAAAACACTATAATCATTTTCCTTAATATCCTCTCTCTTTTTTTTACTTGATTGTGATTAAAGTATATCCATATAGGTAATTTAAGAAAAACTGATAAATATGAGAAATAGGTGTTATATTTAGAAGCAAAATCAACTCAACAATTAGGTCCTATATTAAGGACTAGAGGAGTATATTGAACCTTGGTAAAGAATTGAATATGGGAAGTATGGCAATTACACACACACACACGGGATTGGGAATTGTTCGGCAAGAGAGTTCAAGGGTGAAAAGTTTGATAATATTGTTTGAATGGCTTGCTGGCAAAGTCTTTGTAAAATGGTGTAGATAAGAGGAAATTAATTAAAGTGAGATTGGTCAAGTTCATGAATAGATTTTCGGAATGAAATGCTTGAAGGAAAGGAAAAATGGGAGCTGTTCTTCCAAACTTAAGAAATTAGGGTTAATAGTTAAGTGTGATAAAAAATCAATTATTATCTGAACTTGTAATTATCTGATTTATTTCTGCTTTTTCATGCTTCTGTATAAATCTTTTAGACATGTTATGTGATGATGTCCTCTCCTATATATAGCTGTAAACCTTTTGTGTGATGGTCCTCTTCCATCGCTTAGAAAAGTGAATTTATGCATTTGCAGTTGCTGTTGATTCATTTATAGCATTAAAAAACATCATCCTCACGATCACCCACAAATAAGCTGACAGGTAGATTAAGGGCCTATGTATGAATTGAAGTTCTCCTCAGTTTGAGTGTTGAGGTTGCTATGGAGTCAGTGTTCACGGCAGATTCCCCTTCTTATTGGGATTTCATTGTTGTCCTCCTTCTCCGCCCTCTCCTTGCCTTTGGATTTGTTCTCTTCTTAATTTCTCTGGGTAATTTCTCTCTTTCTGATTTCTTTTCTACTAGGCTGGATTTGCTCTAATTGTTATTTGAAAGTTTAAATTGATTAATCCTTCTGTGATTTGGATTGTTGCAGGCTGGTTGCTGGCATGGAAATTAGTCCTGGTACACGTTCCTTTGGTGCAAGAGATTTTTGGTCTCAGGAAAAAACCTGTCAAATCTAAACCACCAACTCGTCGTCTATCTAAATTTTATAGTACCATTAATGCTCAAAAGTCTCAATAGCTTCGGCATGGTAATTTTCCTTTTCTCTTTTCTGTTTTCCTCCACCATTAGATTTGCTTACCCACTTGTTACTCATAGATGCTATTGTATTTTTCAGTTGATTAGTGAACCTGACAATTATTTTGTGTACAGTGTGGTCCCTCTTCTAGAGTCTATTTATTATTTTCATTTTCCAGCCCCCCCCCCCCCCAAAATACCTTGGTTTAGAGGATCAGACAGAGCCAAGAGTTCTACTGGTTTTTGGCTTGTGCTAAGGGACTTGAAATGGATCTAGTGCTCGTTTTGTAGTCTATATTGTGATTGGGGCATCCAACTATTAACATTAATGATCCCCATCAAGATGAATTCTTAGCAATATTTCTATTATGAGATGTCACCAAGACATAAATATCCAGTTCACAAAGGTTTTGGGTGATAATATTGTTAAACTTGGTGTTCTTGTGAGGCACATGATTATAAATATAGCCAATGCCCACTGTTATTAGGACCCAAAGCTGAGACATTATTGTTAGGTGGTTGTTCTTTAATTCCTGTGTAAGGGCAAAACATAAGATGAGGGGCTAACTGTCTTCAAAATTCCAATGTATCGTTCAAAAAAAAAAAAAAATTCCAATGTACTTGCCTTAAAAGGATACCAGGATGGTTTGACTTGGTTTTTTGGCTGGATGGTGTCTTGTGTTCTGTGGTTATACGTTTAGCGTTCTGGCCAGCTGATCCTTTACCGTATGAAGTGTTTCTTTTCAGGAGAAAAGTAGGGGGTAGATTTTAGCCATTCTTGGCCTGTGAATCTCATTTCCCCTCCTTCCCAACCATCTGTTTTGGGATGTGATTCAAGTTCTAATGCATTAGTTACTTTGAATGTGATGGTACCCAAGTTGGGCTTGGACTGGAGTTCATTTTTCATAAAGCCGGGCCTAATTAAGTTTTAGCTGGGCTAAAATACAGTTAAATTAATATGCTACGATGACATCAATTCCAGTGAAATATGTTATCCAATAAAATATGATCTCTTATAAGGGGTAGTGAATGTCATGAAAGAAAAGCTTGCATTGGTCATGTAAAAGCTGTCATTGGAGATTTTGAAGAAGACGATCGATCTTATGATCGGACCAAGTGAGAAACAATATGAACAGAGCGCATATAGTAACAATAACATCAACATATAAAAAATTTATTTATAAACGGATCATATGAATATTGAATAATGTGTTGTAGTTGGGACTATTTAAGTTACAATAAAACATGTCAACAACACCTGAGAGGGGTTCGGATCTTGTTCCGTATGTAATAATAATGAGATGTAAATGTTGAGGCACAATCCATGATAATAGAAGTTGATGACAATGTACATGTTTTGTGTTCATCGACAAACCCAAAAGAAGTTGATGGGTATCTATCTCATTTTAATTTTTAATTCAATTGAATTATGTTTACAATGAATTTAATTAAAGGGAAAAAAGTATTACATATTATTATAAGCTTATAAAATGATATGAAACTAAACTTAAAAATGGCCAATCAAACATCCACTTTGATAGAACCAGGTTGTGGGGAATGCATGGCCAAATCAGCAGCTGCTAACTCCCACTTTGTCCAGGACGCCTTGCATGCATGTACGTAGACGTCTGTATCAGTAGACAAGGTCCATAGTATATAAATAAGTATTATTAGTATTTTAACATGTGATGATCCTCAATAAAAGAAATGTATTGTAGGGAATGGTTCTCTAAAGAGTAAAAAGAAGGAGAGGAGAAGGAGAAGAAAGTTGAACATGATGTGGTCAAGTTATGGCAATACTTTTAAAGTTTAAGTTGCCCCAATCTATTTCAATCTTAAGGTATAAAGTGGATTTAACGGCAAATTTCTTTCGGTGTACAATGAAGGCATTTGAGTATAATTCACTATCAAAACTCAAGCCAAGGCAATAATGATTTTTACAAAATAATAATTTGATTTTATCTGTGTGCGCACTCAAAGACAGAGAAACACAATGAGTGTGTTTGTTGTGTGTTGTATGATTTTCAAATGAAATGACGGTGAAAGATATATATGAACCATGAAATAATGTCCTGAAGAAGTCGTCTTAAATCAATGCACCTCTTCAATTAAAAGTCACAATGATATGTTGCTTCATAAGCCAACATATCTTCAAGAGACAAGTTATATTACTTTTGATCCTTAATATAAAAGCTAATTGACTAATTTGAGTAGATTAAAAAAATTAATTAAGTTAATTATTTGTAATAATAGGTGTTTTTTTAAAAACATCCTTACTAATCAAGTATTTTAGCTAGAACTATTATTTAATAAAACATTTAACATATGCAACTATGACAAGGATTATCTTGAAAAATAGATAAATATGAAAGATAAAGTGAATTGTTATTTTATATTTGGGATCAAATTAAAAGTTAAATTAACTCATATTAAGGGCTAGAGGTAGTGTAAAATAACTTTTTCATGAAAAGTCACATCATTTTACTATATAGGTTTTCTTTAAAACAATATAGCTTTTCATCAAGTGGACAACACATTAGGATATGACATTTTGGGGATGTTTGGCAAACAATGAAAAAGCACGTTTAGACCCCAAACCATGGTTTGAATCCAAAACTATTTAAACACTCCAATTTTTTGAAAAACTATGGTTTAGGTCAAAACCATGATTTTGAAAAAAGCAAAAAAAATTTCGCTTTTGAGATAAAAACTAGTCCTAGGATAATTATTAAAAATATGTTTGGATTGGCAGTAACAAAACTGATTTTTATTCTAATTGACTTTTGTAAATTAAAGTTAGAATAAAAGTTAGTTAGTGTATGCGATTTATGTTTGAATTGGTGCTTATAAAAAGTCAGTTGGAAAAGCTAAAACTTGTTTGAATGATTAATAGAAAAGTAAGTTTATTTGTAAAATAACTAAAAAAGGTATGGACTTTATTGAATAGTAGTATTTGATATTATATGTTTTTAATATAATAATAGTTAAAAAATACCTAAAATTATTATGATAAAATAAAAATAGTTTATTTGTGAAATTATAAAATAAAAATATTTGTTACCGAGAAAAATTTGAAAACACATTGTAGATAATTAATTAAATATATAAAATGGAGAAACATGAATATAAATTAAAATTTATTTGGTCTGTAATTAAAGTAAATGAAATCAAATGACTAATTAGATTGTAAGCTTTGCATAATTTGGTCTCTAATTGAGTCACGAACACAATTCATTTGTGTGGTAGATGTTAAACTTGATGAGGATGCCTCTCTAGCTACATAATTATTGTCTTAATCTATTACACTTCTATGTTTAGTTTGTATAAAGTAGTCATCAATTGGAGAATTTTGCCTAATAAAATTATGTACAGCTATTGTTGCATAATCTATGCAGACTTGTGTTTGAAACTTGAATTTGGGCATATCTCTTAAGATTGCAAACCTATTTTTCCAAACCCCAAAAGTTCTTTCAATAGTGCATCTCAAACTTGAATGATAATAATTGAAGGCCTCATTCTCATTTCTCAATCCCGGTTGACGATTAAAGTCTAGAAAGTGATAGCGCTCACATCTGTACAAGCTAAGGTATCCCACTTGTATTAGATAACCAGCATTAGCCAAATAATATTTGCCTAGGAAGTCATGACTCAATTATGCTGAGATGAAAATAATGCAATTGAAGCTGAATTTTAAAATAATTGATTTTAAATTTATAGAAATATACCTTCACATGGATGAGGGAAATTCATGGATGGATTGAGATAGCAGAATGAAACACAAGAGTATCATGTGCACTACCTTCCTAGCTGCCAACACGAAAGTGAAGCACATATCCCAATCACATATGGCCATGACATTTTGACTGGGAAATCCCTTCCTCCCAATATATTTTTCTTGCCTCGCTCGACTAACCTTACAATTTATGTGGGTACCATCAATTGCTCCGATTACATCCTTAAAAAATGAGAAGTATCGTGGATCATTTGTTATTTTTGGATGACAATAAGAAAACATAGGATCAGTTGGCTTGATATTTTCTCGAGATAAATTGAGACAAGCATCCAACACTCTATAAAAATGCCAATTGAGAGTTTCTCCTGAACACTGAAACCTTTCTTGAATCATCCTATTACATTGGCCATGCACAATTGTATTCAAGAACATGGCAACAAATTCATGGACACCTATGTACTTAGAATTTTGTAACCCATGTTCAACCAATTTAGAGCATAACCGATGGAATGTCTCTATTTTCATTCGAAACATATACTTAGACCGTCCTTTATGCTCGTGTAAAAGTTCTTGTACCCATAAATAACTCGCTTGTTTACTAGTTCTGTATGGTTGTTTGCATAGAAAATATGTCACATACTGACTCGTTAATACACTTAGCTCTAATAATTGTGTTGCGTATTCATGTAAAGGGGGAAGTAATTAAGACTGTTCATCTCCCCAACCCTCATCCCAACCCTCGCCCCAACCCTTCGTTGAATCAGACATGGATTATGTAACCTATGAGTAGTTAAATACTAAATAAGAGTAATATTTTCACAAAGAAAGAAAAAAAGATAAGATAATACACAAATAGTCATCAAATTTTAACATAGTCATTAAACACACATAATCATTAAACACATAGTCACCAAATACATTAAGCTAGAAAAACATAAGTCATAATAAGTCACACGACACAACTCAAGGATCTCTGGGTTTCACATATGGTAACAGGTTTTTAGCATTGTATTTCAACGAAGCTATTAATACCTCCTGATTTCCTCTCAAGCTAGCATATATGTCCCTGAAAGCCTTATTTGCCAGAAGATTACAACAAAGGACACAAAGATGGGTGTCACTGGCAATTTCCTCAATACTCAGCAGATCAGTGGTAAGCTCAATAGTTATATCACTATTGGACATTTTGTTTACTGCCTCTGTTGTATCCTTTGAAGCAGTAGCAATCAAACTGACTGCATCTACTATTCTTTTTGTCGCTGGCATATTTTTCTTGGTGTACTTATCCAACCCTTCACCTCTCTTTCTCTTCCCTTAACTTCCTAAACCACTAGGTACAGTAGGTGCAGTGTTCGATGTGTTTGCAGTTAAATTGATGCCGTCCAAATCATCTGAAACTCCTACACAGCGTCTAGTGTCACACTTCCCCATATGCTTTTACCATCACAAACAGCAATCCAATCACTGTTTAAGATTGTTAGAAGGCTTGAAACTCTAGAGTGGTCAAACGATCAGACCTCAAGTCAGATGGGGTCGCTAACACATGGACAAATAATGAGAGAGTGTGGAAGAATATTTCCAACTTTCAAAACTAGATAATAATTATATCAGCATTTCATTTTTATAATTTTTGAGATAAAAAATATTTTTGTTGGAAAACAAAATTCATTTTTCTAAAAACATATTTATTCTTATATT